AAGACACACCCGAACACAAAGTTCGTCATCATTTTCTATGGTTGGGACAAAAAAGCTAAGACACACCCAAACACAAAATTCCTCATCATTTTCAAGGATCGAAACAAAAAGGTACAACACATCGAACTCAAACATGCTCATCATTTTTAATGGTTGGGAAAAAAATTTAAAAAACAGCCGAACACAAAGCCTCTTATCATTTTCAATGGTCGGAAGATAAAGCTAAACACACGCGTGCTTGTACTCAAAATTTGGCAGCATTATCAATAAACCGAACATAAGAATTTAAACATACCTGAATACAAATTCTTCTCCATTTTCAATTTTCGGGGCAAAAAGCTAAAACTCACCCAAATACAAATTTCCTTGCCATTTTTAATGGAGGGTCAAAAAAGCTAAAACACAACCCAAGACAAAACTCCTCGTCATTTTCAATGGCTGATACAACAACGCTAAAACACACCCAAACACCAAGTTCCTCAGCATTTTCAATGGTCGGGAGAAAAAGCTAAAACACAACGGAACACAAAAATCCTCATCCTTTTCAATGAGTGGGAGAAAAAGCTAAGACACACCCGAACACAAAGCTTCTCGTCGTTCTCTATAGTTGGGACAAAAAAGCTAAAACACACTCGACCACAAAATTCTTTTTCATTTTCAATGGTCGCGTTTAAAAAAATAAAACACACCCGAACTCAAATTTCTTCATCAATTTCAATGGTCGGGACAAAAAAGCTAAAACACACCAGAACACAAATTTCCTCATCATTTTCAATGGTCGGGGCAAAAAAGCTCAAACACATCCGAACACAAAGTTCCTTATCATTTTCAATGGTCAGGAGAGAAAGCTGAAACACACGCATACACAAAATTTGGCAGCACTATCATTGATTCGGACATAAAATTCAAACACAACTGAATACAAATTCCTCTCCATTTTCAATTTTCCAGGTGAAAAGCTGAAACTCACCCGAACACAAAGTTTCTCATCATTTTCAATGGTCGGGGCAAAAAAGCTCAAACACATCCGAACACAAAGTTCCTTATCATTTTCAATGGTCAGGAGAGAAAGCTGAAACACACGCATACACAAAATTTGGCAGCACTATCATTGATTCGGACATAAAATTCAAACACAACTGAATACAAATTCCTCTCCATTTTCAATTTTCCAGGTGAAAAGCTGAGACACACCCGAACACAAAGTTTCTCATCGTTTTCAATGGTCGGGAGAAAAAGCTAAAACACACCCAAACACAAAATTGCTCATCTTTTTCAATAGCTGGGAAAAAAAGCTGAGACACACCCGAACACAAAGCTTCTCGTCGTTTTCTATAGTTGGGACAAAAAAGCTAAAACACACTCGACCACAAAATTCTTTTTCATTTTCAATGGTCGCGTTTAAAAAAATAAAACACACCCGAACTCAAATTTCTTCATCAATTTCAATGGTCGGGACAAAAAAGCTAAAACACACCAGAACACAAATTTCCTCATCATTTTCAATGGTCGGGGCAAAAAAGCTCAAACACATCCGAACACAAAGTTCCTTATCATTTTCAATGGTCAGGAGAGAAAGCTGAAACACACGCATACACAAAATTTGGCAGCACTATCATTGATTCGGACATAAAATTCAAACACAACTGAATACAAATTCCTCTCCATTTTCAATTTTCCAGGTGAAAAGCTGAAACTCACCCAAGTACAAATTTCCTTGCCATTTTCAACGGAGGGTCAAAAAAACTAAAACAAACCCGAAAACAAAACTTCTCGTCATTTTCAATGGTTGATGCGACAACGCTAAGATACACCCGAACACAAAGTTCCTCATCGTTTTCTATGGTTGGGACAAAAAAGCTAAAACACACCCGAACACAAGATTCCTCATCATTTTCAATGCTTGGGGGCAAAAAAGCTAAAACACACCGGCCACAAAAATTTTAAACATTTTCAATGGTCGGGGAAAAAAGGCTAAAACACACCCGAACACAAAGTTCCTAAACATTTTCAATTGTCGGGGCACAAAATTAGAATACATCCAGACACAAAGTTCCTCGTCATTTTCATGGGTCAGGACAAAAAAGCTAAAAGACACCCAAACACAAAGTTTCTTATCCTTTTCAGTCGTCGGAAGATAAAGCTAAAACACACGCGTACTTGTACTCAAAATTTGGCAGCATTATCAATGATCCGGACATCAAAATTTAAACATACCTGAATACAAATTCCTCTCCATTTTCAATTTTCGGGGCAGAAAGCTAAAACTCACCCAGTTACAAATTTCCTTGCCATTTTCAATGGAGGGTCAAAAAAGCTAAAATACAACCCAACACAAAACTCCTCGTCATTTTCAATGGCTGATACGACAACGCTAAGACACACCCGAACACAAAGTTCCTCATCATTTTCTATGGTTGGGACAAAAAAGCTAAAACACACCCGAACACAAAATTCGTCATCATTTTCAAAGCTCGAAACAAAAAAACACAACACATTGAACACAAACATGCTTAACATTTTAAATGGCTGGGAAAAAAATCTAAAAAACAGCCGAACAAAAAGTTCCTAATCATATTCAATGGTTGGGGCAAAAAAGCTAAAACACACCCAAAAACAAAGTTCCTCAGCATTTTCAAGGGTCGGGAGAAAAAACTAAAACACACCCGAACACAAAGTTCCTCATCCTTTTCAATGAGTGGGAGAAAAAGCTAAGACACAACCGAACACGACGTTCCTCATCGTTTTCTATAGTTGAGCCAAAAAAACTACAACACACCCGACCACAAAGTTCCATTTCATTTTCAATGTTTGGGACAAAAAAGCTAAAACACAACCGATCACAAAGTTCTTCATCAATTTCAATAGGCGGGACAAAAAAGCTAAAACACACCAGAACACAAAATTCCTCATCATTTTCAATGCTCGAGACAAAAAAAGTATAACACACCGAACACAAATTTGTTTATCATTTTCAATGATTGAGACAAAAAATCTAAAAAACAGCCGGACACAAAGTTCCTAATCATTTTCAATGGTCGGGGCAAAAAAAAAATAAAAAAACACATCCGAATTTGAAGTTTCTCATCATTTTCAATGGTCGGGAGAAAAAGCTAAAACACACCCAAACACAAAGTTGCTCATCCTTTTCAATAGTTGGGAGAAAAATCTGAGACACACCCGAACACAAAGTTTCTCGTCGTTTTCTATAGTTGGGACAAAAAAGCTAAAACACACCCGACAACAAAATTATTTTTCATTTTGAATGGTCGGGTTAAAAAAACTAAAACACACCCGAACACAAAATTCTTCATCAATTTCAATGGTCGGGTCAAAAAAAGCTGAAACACACCAGAACACAAAGTTTCTAATCATTTTCAATGTTTGGGGCCAAAAAGCTCAAACACATCCGAACACAAAGTTCCTCATCATTTTCAATGGTCGGGAGAAAAAGGCTATAACACACCCGAACACAAAGTTCCTCATCCTTTTCGATGGTTGGGAGAAAAAGCTAAGACAAACCCGAACACAAAGTTCCGCATCGTTTTCTATAGTTGGGACAAAAAAGCTAAAACACACCCGACCACAAAATTCTTTTTAATTTTTAATGGTCGGGACAAAAAAGCTAAACACACCCGAACACAAAGTTTCTAATCATTTTTAATGGTCGGGGCAAAAAAGCTCGAACACATCCGAACACAAAGTTCCTCATCATTTTCAAAGGTCGGGAGAAAAAGCTAAAACACACCCGACCACAAAGTTCTTTTTCATGTTCAATGGTCGAGTTAAAAAAACTAAAACACACCAGAGCACAAAGTTCCTCATCCTTTTCGATGGTTGGGAGAAAAAGCTAAGACAAACCCGAACACGAAGTTCCGCATCGTTTTTCAATAGTTTGGACAAAAAAACTAAAACCCACCCGAACACAAAGTTCCTCATCATTTTCAATGATCGGAACAAAAAGTGTAAAACACACCGAACACAAGCTTGTTTATCATTTTCAATGTTTGAGACAAAAAATCTAAAAAACAGCCGAACGTAATGTTCCTAATCATTTTCAATGGTAGGGGCAAAAAAAGCTAAAACACATCCGAATAAAGAGTTTCTCATCATTTTCAATGGTCAGGAGAAAAAGCTAAAACACACCCGAACACAAAGTTCCACATCCTTTTCAATGGTTGGGAGAAAAAGCTAAGACACCATCGAACACAAGGTTCCACATCCTTTTCAATGGTTGGGAGAAAAAGCTAAGACACCATCGAACACAAGGTTCCTCATCGTTTTCTATAATTGGGACAAAAAGCTAAAACACACCCGACCACAAAGTTCTTTTTCATTTTCAATGGTCGGGTTAAAAAACTAAAACACACCCGAACACAAAGTTCTTCGTCAATTTCAATGGTCGGGGCAAAAAAGAACACGTCCGAATACAAAGTTTCTTCTCATTTTTAATGATCAGGACAAAAAAAGCTAAAACACACCCAAACACAAAGTTCCTGATCGTTTTTAATGGTCATGAGAAAGAGCTAAAAGACACCCGTTTACATAATTGGGCAGCATTATCATTCATCGGGAAAAAAAACTTGAGCACACCTGAATACAAACTCCTCTCCATTTTAAATTTTCGCGAAAAAAAGCTAAAATTTACCCAAATACAAATTTCCTTGCCATTTCCAATGGAGGGACAAAAAAGCTAAAACAGACTCGTACACAAAGTTCCTTATAATTTTCAATGGTCGGGACAAAAAGCTAAAACACCCGTACACAAAGTTTGGCAGCATTATTAATGATCGGGACATAGAAACTTAAACAAACCCGAATTTCCTTGCCATTTCCTTGCCATTTTCAATGGTCGGGACAAAAAATTATAAACCATAAGAACTGATAGTTTAATGATTACTACAATATTACTACCTACCGTTTATTAGGATCATTAGGTAAGAATGTAATGTACTAGTTTAGCAGTTACTTTTTGTGGTAATTTAACCGCTGTCATGTAGGTGCTCTGGTGATGCTGAATATTCAGCTGATTCTGTCACTGTGGAAGTTCTACAAAGAGCGGTGTGCCAAATTCTTCTCTGACATTTGGAATATTCTAGACGTTTTGATAGTGCTTATCGGGTGGGCTTGTACCCTCATGTGGTTCGTGAGGTACATCAAAGGCGAGCGAGCCATTTCTAGGGTAAGTTTGATTATGATGAAAGGAAAACTCGTTCAACAAGTGTTCCGGTCTGTTTCCGTAGGCAGGTTTAAATATAGGTTTATGAGACCATAAAAATAGCGCAACTTAACGCTGGAGAGTCGCTTCAGGTTTTTAATCTAAAATACTTCAGATTGTTAATTTCACTAGGGAAACTTGGGACTAGAATGCCTAACTGGAGCCTCCTGAAATTCTATGTGTCCATTTTTAGATGTCTCTTTACGGGGGACGGCAGTATGTGAACATGGGCGAGTTGGGGATAATGACGCAGCTCTACGTGTACTGTCTGGGGGTGATCTCGTTCGCCACCACTATCCGATTCCTCTGGCTCTTCAAATTCAACAGCAGGGTGTCCGCATTCATCGACACCGTCAGCCTCGCCAGACGAGATCTATCCGCCTACGGTACACTTCTTAAGTTTAAATTAATAGCTGAATTGTATGGAATAATTACTGATTTACTTCTGAATGAATAAAGAGCAATAACTGATTCATCTCAGAAAATTTAAAACCCGTTTCCGAATCAAATTTACAACAGCAAAACTACAAAAATGTGGGTACTAAATTTAGCGCTCCAGATGGTGCGAGTTCGAATCCCGTAGTAGCGATTTTTTGAAGTATCTCGGCAACATGAAAGCACACTTTCATTTGATTTCATGAGAAATCCGGTTTTTACACAATTTGTTAGTTAGATTGATTCAGTATTCGAAGAGATACATCGGCTCAAAAGTATATTACAGCTCTGCGTAGGTTCCATCTTCTTCGTACTCTTCCTGGGCTTTGCCACCATGATCTACGTGGTACTGGGCCCCAAACTGCTTATGTACAGCAACATGAAACTAGTCATGGAATCACTTTTCTCCGTTCTATTGGGTGAGTTAAATGACACACACTCGGCAGCAGTGTATATAACAGAGGCTCCTTCGTACAATAGCATCAGCGGATTTGGGGGAGGGGGGGCGGACTCCTCCTTTCAGGGATTCAACCCCCTGCCGATCAAAGGGTCCCCTTTTGTACTATTTTGAGATATCCATTTTTGGCTGACTGATTCTAAAATTTTTCTGAACGCGCCTTTGGCGCCAAAATATACTAACTTTGAGGGGTGAGCGCGCACCGAAAAGTGAGCGCGCGCCGAAAAACGCGATTTTTCGTTTAGTGATTTTTCCAAAAAGTGTCTAAAACCCCTTTTTTTGGCCTTTTTTCAAAAATTCGCCCTCGGCGCAGAAAATTTGGTCAAAATTGGGGCTTTATAGTGATTTGGTGGAGCTCAGAAAAACAAATTAGGCGACCTAAAAAACAACAGGTTAACAAAACTTTACAAGTAGCGATAAACGTGATCGACTTCTAGTTTCGAAAGTGGATTTTAATATTCAGATTTTCCAGCGATAATTTAAATTTACCTATTGATCCCATTTTCTCGAATTCGGTTAATTGTATCAAAAAAGCACCAATCATAAATTGTTTTTGAAATTCAGAGCTTTAAGGGCATTTCTCTTTTCTCTAAAATGCGAAAGTTGAAATTTAAAAAAAGTCTTTTTTGCTTCATTGCGTTCAGTATTTTTTCCAACTACCAGTTGACTAAGTTTTTATCTTTCAAGTTTGTCTGGTACTTGATATAAGAAATGGATTCAACCTGTCCCTATTATTTGCTTTTAATGTTTTAAATCTTCAAAAACAAATCGTGAAAAATTTGGCTGGCTAGGATAAGTTTTACACATATTTAGGTAAATTCGAGTTTGGCAAGATCTTCGAGGCGGATCCTATTTTGGGGCCATACCTGATCATGTCCTATGCGGTGTGTATGGCCCTTGTGTCTCTCAACGTGTTCATCTGCATCCTCGACATTTCCATACACGAGGTTTGAAAAAAATAGAAGCTTCTTTATGAATTTATCCAGAGTAGTTAATATTTTTTTCTAGAAATGTGTGCAGAGGAGTCAATATATAGCGAAACAAGCATTGCAGTTTTCGTTTTAACTTTCGATGAAACTTACAAAATAATTGTACTAGGATAAATTTTTTTCGAAAGTTAAAAAAGAAACTTTCTTATACTTCATTCAAGACATATTAATGATGATAAAACGAATGCTTTTACATCAAGTCAAAGCCTTGAACGTTCCGACTGCAGTTCAAGGCCAACTAAAATATTTTTTTTTCTTTGAAAAATTGACGCATTAATTGAAAAAAATAGGTTTTTTTTTCTGAAATGTAGCCCCCCACGCGCTAATATGAACTACAAGGGATCTATTTTGAGTCCGCCCTAATAATACGACCAAATTGTTGGCCACAATTGAATCTGGAACGTATTAATCCGCCGCTTAGGCGAGTTATAAGAGCGCATTTTATTGCAATTTTAAGAAAGACAGAATTTAACGACAAATTACCACAGGTGATTTTTTTAACTTGAGCTCCGGATAACAAGATCCTTCAGATGAAAAAAAATATCTGTCAAAATTGCTTAATTAAAAATTCGAAAACTTACTGAAATAGGAAAATGGCCGAAGCATAAATATTCCGTTTTCTTTGAAGGTCAGATCAAAACAAAGTTAATTTTCAATTTGATACATAGACAAAAATCGTAAACGTATAGTAGACAGTTATTCATGAAGTTATCACCAAATTGGGAGAACATCAAATAGGCTAGTCATGTCAGCCTTTCGAGCTATGTTTCCTTGAAATAAATTCTATGAGTACAAAAACAAGAAAGTTTGTCCAATTATTGTAATGATGGCCGGCCATTAAAGAACCATGTTTTTAAATTACGCGTGTAGTAATTTCTCATAAACTTCATTAAACGGGTGCAATCCAAAAATTTTTGGAGAAACCAAAAGGCACAACCGAATGCATGTAATCTTTTATTTACATTGAGCTGAATTGTTCAGTTCAACTCGCTCGAATTTGGATTTAAATACCGATAAAAAATTTGAATTTAGTAGTTCACAATGTGGAAATTACATTTTTAATTTAGAAATTTGTCACGGAGCAATTTCTTGTATTCAATTACTAAATTTTTTTTAAAAAATCGTCCATTTTGCTGTTTTTTTTTAAACTAGCCCAATTTCATGGCTCAATTTTTGACACAAGAAAGATGAACTTTTTTGAAAAGATCTAGTGGGATCAAGAATGACTGGCGATGATAGCAGGGCCGGGTGCCGGACATCAAGCTGACGGGACTTCAAGCCGAATCGTAAAATTAGGGACTTCAAGCCGAATAGTTCCTTATAAACTAGTGAAATATGATTAATTTGATAACTATTTTGAAGAGTTTCCGAATTTCATGATCTTTCTTCACAAGTTATTGGCGTTTTTATAAAATTTAAGCCTCCAAATGATGTTTCGGAAAGTTGGAAATTAAAACAAAGTTGAAGGCATTTTTCAAGTTTATAATTTATGCATTTCAAAAACCGGCTGATGTTATTAACGGATGCCAATCACAAGCGGTGCATTGTCATGAATAACGTTTATTATGGGCTAACTTGTTAAAATTTTCTGAAAAATAACGTTTTACAGATGATAAAATAGTGTTTTGAGGTGCTTGTAAAGTTTTAATTTCGGCTTGAAGTCCCTTCGGCTTGAAGTCCCGTCGGCTTGTTGTCCTAGACCCAGCAGGGCCATGAGTGGCCATTCAACCGGATCTAGTCAAGTATGTGTTCTTGTAGCTGAAAACTGTAAAACTGTTAGACAACACCAAAACAAACAGATTTTTTTTCTCTTTGTTTGTGATATTTGAAGCAACTTTGCGGTCGTTTATATGATTTTAGTTCAAAAAGTAGACAAATAAAAAATTTTGCTCATGGAGATACCACGCGACAGGCTGATGCCCTTTCTAGGTATTCTCCCAAGCCGAACTTTATTGTAGACGTACATTTTCATAGAATGTATACTTTTAAGTTTTGACTTGAAAATAAAACAAGACTACTCGTATCAGGGCGAAGCCCTAAACGTTCCGACTGCCTTTTAAGGTTTTATGGAGCAGTAATAACATTAAAAAATTAAATGTAATAAAACAAAATGAAAGTTTGAAATTTTTATGAATATCATCCCCTCACACAACATATAAGTACAAAAGGATAGATTTCGCTCCTTGTAACAATTGAATTATGACAAATAAGCTTCTTTGAACCAATTTGGAACGATTTTAAGACGGATTAACTCTCCGCTTACGTGTTAATAGCGCGAAATATATCGCGCGTTAATTGTCCCAAATTGGCCAATATGGCAATCTTTAAACCCCCAAAACTTTACGAAAAAAGATCACAGGTAGAATTTTATTTTAATTTAAAGCTCAGGACAACAATACTTTTTGAATGATATAAAATCCGTCAAAAATGGCTAGTTAAAAAGTCGAAAATTGTCTGAAGAAAAAAAAACCCACCCCGAGACGGAAATTTTTTCATATCATTCGAAAAGTATTATTGTCTTGAGCTCAAATATGAAAAGATATTTTACCTGTGACCATTTTTCGTAAAATTACGGGGGTTTAAAGATTGGCATTTTGGCCAATTTGGGACAATTAACGCGCGATATATTTTGCGCTATTAACGCGTAAGCGGATAGTTAATCCCTCTTAGAAATCGTTCCAAATTGGTTGAAAGAAGTTTATTTGCCATAATTGATTTGTTACAGGGAGCGAATTCTATCCTTTTGAATTCAAATTTAAAAGAAAAAAATTTTTTCATTTTATTTTAAATGTTATTAAGGCAGTCGGACAATCAGGGCTTTGCCCTGATATGAGCAGTCTTGTTATTGTTGGATTCAAAGGCTACGCATCCACCGAGGTTTGCTCGAAAACAAAGCAAATTGAACGAAATGTCGCCTAAAAATTCGAACTTAGATTGTTACGTAAGCGAAGCGTAGTGTCATACTACGATGTCTGTTTTTTATTCAGAATAGCTTTCATTCAATAGCATTTTAATAGCATCTTTCCAATTTCGCTCAGTTAGTGGCAAGTTCCTGTTTGATGAAAACGGGTCTTCTGAAAATGTATGAGATATGAAAATGTATAGGATTTATTTTTTGGACACTTTAAAAAATAGCCTCTTTCGCAGAATTTTTAGTTTTTCTCGAGCACTAAATCACCGATTTTACGAAGTTGTACCAATGGAAAACCCTGCTACGCCATTTTGTCTCCGGATAGTCTCTGTCTACCTTACCCAACGTTCAAGAAACATGTCAAAATGTTTGCAAATATGACTATTTTTTAGAATTTCTGTAGCTCAAGAACTGCCCTGTCAAATCTGAGATGACAATCACGGATGGTAGAAGTTTTCCTTAGTCTTATAAAATGATGTTTTTTGACTTTTTGAAAGATTTAGTTAAAACCTCGTCTTTTTCAAAAAGTGCTTTTCCAAATATGCAATAAAAGTTTCAATCGAAAAATTGCAATGATTTTCTCGCGTAAAAATTGAGCTCTGTTCTGTAGAAAAGCCAGCCAGGCTTTATGAAAAGTTCAATTTTTAGATTTTTTACCGCTTAGAATTTTTTTTCAATTTTCTTGAAGTTGGCATGGTGTAGAATCAATTGAAAGAGCAGTTTATGGGAATGTTCTGTGCATAAGCCGCTACTCCCTAGTCTTGGTTGATAAATCAGTGTAAACTGAGCAGAAGTCCATCATTTTTCACTTTTCTTGACAATTACTTGCCAAATTTGAGAACAGATATTGGTGATCTGCTCTGCTTTAAATGCATTCACCTGCTTTAGGAAAAGTCAAAGTTAAAATTTTCGGACTGTTTTTTTAAACTCCTTTTTTCTAGAAAACTATCCAGCTAAATCTATGATTAAGATTTTGAATAAAAGAATTAGCGATAGAAATCCCCTAAAAAGTAGAAAATCTTCTTTTAAGCAGAGAAAACACTATGTTTTTGGGTAAAGTCTATTTTTTTGAACTGTTAAAAATTATGCATCAGTAAAACATACTCTAAAAAATAAAAACCGTTACTTTTATTTTCAGCTGGCCACTAGTGTTTGAATATCTACAAGAGCACATACCGAGTTTGGTAGGGCGTAAATTTCTCATTCTCTAGGTCTATAGTTCAAACCCGGCGCACAAAAAAAATTGTCTTTTTCTGTTAGTTTAATTCTTTCCCTTCCCCTTTTCTCGCCTTTTTAGAGTCGTTTTTGCCGTAGTATCGTTTGTGTACGCAAATTGCAACTTCGCGTTTGTGTATTAATATTATAAGAAAAACTTAATAAATTCTAAGAATACTGTTTAAGAGCTCATTCACGTGTTGAGGCTTAGCTAAGAGCCCTAGCTTTCTTTTAAGCATTTAAATCCATAAAATGAAATTCTTCTAATTCTCAGTAGAAGTTTTTGGCAACCCTATTATTTCGTTGACGAGCTTGGATTGAATAGCCAAAGTGCCTTCTAAACGAGTTCTTTCTTTTTTAAGGATCAAATCTTTTTAAACAGAATCTTTTTATCAGGCGAAATCAAATCGCGAAAATAAAGTTTTTTAGCGAAAAAAACAACAGCAAAAAATAAATATACGAAATCAAAGTTAGTAAAAACTGATTTTATGAACTTAACCTAAATTAACCATGTCTAAATTTGACCGTTCTGTGATCCAAGTTACTTATGGGGTAAAGTCTTGTACCCGATTGCAATACCCTTGTGTATCGCAATGGTGATCAGTTTAATTCATTACATCGGGGTCCAGAAGTGCCGCCTTCCAGTGGTGGAATGGGCCCGACGGTTGTGCAAACAGCCCCAAATGGCACTTACCTTAACCTCTCCAACAGGAAAGCGCAAAAAGCAAGGTCGGACTGGGTTTTGTGGTTACGCAGCTTCCTAAGTTGGCCGGGTTATTCCGTCTTTTAATCCTTATTCGTCTCCTTCGCACCGACATAAACCCCAACTCTGACCTTATAGCTGCTCCCCTTGCAATCACAAACTCCTCTGTTCTCAAGCAAGCGTGTGGTGCCACGTTTGTAGATTGATTCATTTAAAATGCAGTGGTCTAGCCACACTGCAACACCATCACTGAGATTTTTATTGTCCCATCTGCACAGCAAAATTTATATTGCCCCTCCCAGTAACCAATTCCGCAACTATTTACCGACTAATATCTATCCCCTCCTTAACTACACTGCCCCCAGCAACTTACAGCCCCTTGATTCCAAACACCTACACTAAAACGCTTCAACTATCTTCAACAAACCCCACCGCTCAGTAACCAAGCGAATCAACTCTCACCGTCAACTTAGTCCCTGAATAGTCTGCAGTTCAACTGTATTGGAATTTCTGGGAAAATACCAATAATAGCAGCTTTAATGAGCGAGTACCATATTCACATTGCAGTTTTCCAGAAAGCCAAACTGAATCCAAAAAACCGCACTCCCTCGTTAGGGCCTAACTACATTTTACTTAGAAAGGACCGACAGCAAGATGGAGGAGGTCTAGTAACTGCAATTCACAAGTCTTTTCTCCACGACGAACTTGTAATACAGAACTCTGGACGAGCAAAGCCTATTTGTATATGACAACAAAAGGAATCTCCGTATAACGAGTTTTTATATTGCTCTCCATAGTAGCTGTCTTAAGGACTATGAAGCAACCATTTCAACTCTCCTTCCAGAAGTAAATTATATTGTACAAGGCGATGCAAATGCCCACTCACCACTTTGGTGCTCTAATATACCTGAGGGCGACGCGGGGCTAACATAGGCGCAGAAGTTATTCAATCCTCATTTACTCCACTGAATGATCACCACCAAACTCGACTGCCATATGATAGAAACTCTTCAGCATCATCAACTGACGTAACACTCGCATTCCTCCCAATTTTACTCAATCTTGCTTAGCAAACAGTTTCTAAACTGGGCTCAGATCACCAACCAAACCTAAATAATCTTCCAATTGCTGAGGATATCTCCTTTGCGCCTCATAAAACTCATATAAATTTTAAAACAGCGGATTGGAAAAATTTTAAAAATGAAATGGAAGATGATCTTGCAACATCATGTTAACGCCGCAGAACAGATTTTTGTGATACTGTTCTCTCTGTATCCCGTCACCATATCCCTGCAGGCCGTCATCGTTTCTTTGTATCTACACTAAATGACGAAACAAAGAAACTTGTGCAACAGAGGGATAACATCAGATTAACAAACCCGTCAGGCTCACTTTTATATGACCTAAACAGAGGAATTATGTCTAAAACGGTCGAAGTAAAAGAAAAGAAACGGTGGGAATTCCATCAGACTTTCAGTCATCATACTTCATCTAGCAATGTGAAATGTGAAAAACATTGCAAATGCTCTAAATGTTCAATACACTAATTTGAAACTCACAAAAGCAACAAAACTCAAAGAGTAACCAAGCGAAAAGCTCTGAAACAACTTAGCTGGCTCTTTAAGTTTTATACCGCTCGAAGTGGAGAATTGCATTAAACTGATTAAACCGTGAAACCCCTAGAATCAGACGGTCTGTGTACGGTTCATCTAAAACATATTGGCCTCAGTAGCTATTAATACTTTAACGCCCATTTTTAACCGCTCTCTATTTCTTAACGTCATACCTCATATTTGGAAAAACTCAAAAGTGGTTCCCCTCCCTAAACCAAATGAAGACCTCAAATTGTCAAAATCCTACCCTTCAGAATTGAATTTAAGCCCGGCTGTCAAAACTTTAGAATCTTTAACTCACGCAACCCTAGCTAAACACTTATGCAAACCGTCATGGTTTCCGAAAAATGCACACTAGAACAGTTTTGGCCTTGCTCGAATTATCTTACGCTTTCGAAATGGTCTGTCATCAAATTATCTTGGATCTTCTTCATGACACCATTGTAACGGGAACCTAAACCAAATGGTTAGCAAATTATTTCAGTGGTCCTTGAACGAAGACATTTTTACGGAAGTTCTGTCAACATCCAGGATTGTTCGCACAGGTGTCCCACGAGGTTCAGCCATTTCACCTACTTGGTTTATATTTTACGCTGATAATGCGCCATTACCACCCCCCGACATTAAATATTAATCGTACGCAGACAACTTTCACCCCTTCGTTCAGTCGAGCAACTTTCAAAAAGCGTCCTCTGTTTTATCCAACTACACCAATAATTGTTTACTTCCAGCTCTCTTGTTTTTTCTTCATCGAAAACCCCGCCAGCCTTTTTCCTCATTCAAAAGAGTTTGTTACTGACCCCCTCATTAGAATGGACAATACCTCCTTGGTTAGAAAATCATCCCAAAGTATTCGGTGTGGTGTCTTCTTTGAACCGTCCCTTAACTTCGCAGAACACTGCCAGCGAACTTCAGCAAAAGCCTCGCGCAGGATAGCAATCCCGAAGGCCTTATCGGGGACAAATTGGGATCAATCAAAAGAGATGCTGCTGGTAACCTACAAGGCTTTGGTCAGACCAATTTTAGATTATGGTCTGACCAAAACCCATGCCACCAGTTTTACGTCTTTGATCAAACTTCAAATAGTTCAAAACGCCGCTCTCAGCACAATAACGCGTTGTACTAAATTGAGTGCTTCAGAACATTTACATTCTGAATAAAAAATTTTAAATGTTGCTCAACATCACCGACGAATATCTGCTCAATATACACTGAAAACATACATCCCTTCAAAAAGTTTTTTTTCATCCCCACCACCTAAACTTCCCCGGAATATCCGCCAGAGAAAACTTGAGATATATGGTCCCGGAATAGGAAATATCATCCAACACCCATCAAATGCATATTTCATTTCGCACCTTTAAACGAGTTTAACGAGCTTAGTTTTTTTGCCTCTCAAAACTATAAATCGGTTTTAAAACAATTGCACGCTAAAAGTGTCGAGCAAGCTTTTGCAGATGCTCTTTCCCCTAAAGTGCTTCCACTCAAACCCCCGATACCTTATCTTCTGAAAACTCGCTCCCTCGCTTTACCAGGCGAACCCTTGCCGAATTTGGATCCCGCTATAGTCCCTTCCGGAAGACTTACCTAACCAGAATAGACCCAAATGTCCCCCCAAACTGCCCCCACTGTACTTTCCCCCACACCACTTTACACCTCTTTAACTGTTCCAAGAACAAAACTACTCTAACCGCAACTTACCCATGGCTTCGGCCGACCGAAGTCGCGAAGTTTCTAGGTCTCGGTTTGAGCATGCCGGACGCGCCCCCTGGGGGCTAACAACAACAAAAATTCATTACGTCGAAGTTTCAGCCATAAACCTAAGGTATTTACAAATAAATAATGTTTTTGGTAGCTCTACATATGTAAACTCAGCTTCAGCTGACTGTGTTTTTTTATGTCAAAATAGAGTGGAGAGAAGTTTTTTGTCCCCTTTATACTGCATTGGGAGTTTCAAAGTGGAACAGGCAGTGTTCAACAAAATTTTGTTTTTTTTTGTCTCTAGATTTTCTGCCATTTTTTTTAGTACAGAAGAGCGTAGAAACATTATCTCAATTAACTTACAAAACGCAAAACTAAAACCAGATTGTGAGACTGCTCTGACTTCTTTGTCCACCGGTAAGTTTTCGAATTGTCTGAATAGCAAAAACAATCAGAACAGTTTTTTTTCAACATCAGAGTTTTTTGTGAATATCCGATTGCATTTTTAATGATATGGATCTAATACCTCAGCATATTATAAAGGCCTTTATATGGTACAACACATGGCTTTTACGAGAGCTTTCTTGAATGTACTTTAAGTTGCACAGCAAAAGCCAGCGTACGCCATAGTTCTTTCCTCGCCATTCAAAGCTGTTGGAACATTTGAGAGCTGTTGCTGAAAAAAAGCATGTAATCAAAAATTAACGATAAAAAATTATTTGTTAATTCTTAAACTTTTTGTCGTTTAATGGCTAAAAAAGAAAGAAACATTGAAGAGTACAAAAAAAATCAGACCAGGTTTTCTCGAAATTGCGAGTGGAACCAGTTTTAAACTAGTATTTATATCCAATCATATTATTGATAAAACTATCTCTATAAAATATTTCTAACTAACCAATCATGATCCATAACTAACACTTACAATTATTTGTAACGCTGAAACTATTCTTAGTTTCAGCAACAGAACAAAATAAATATAACTTAAAACCAAGTTGTTCTCCTTCAAGATAGTTCCTGATATCTAACTGGCAAATACCAGTATACACTAGATCTATTGAGACTAGGAGATTGAAGAGAAAAATTAAGATTGCTATTAGACTAAGAAGCTGCACGAATTTATCCGGCCGAAAATAAGATAGCGTGACGAACAGACTGTTTACCTTATCTGAAATTACTCTATGAGTGAGCCACCCCGGACTTTCACGAGTGAAAACACAACAGGCCATAGTTCTTTTCTCTTCGTGAAATAGTCGGAACAGTAAACCAAGAGCCTATAGAGTATTTTCCGATGTCTGTAAGGCAGTCGTTTTTCTGCTTAGATAACTTCAATAAATATTTGTCATATGTGTAATTTCAGGTGCGCGCTGACGCAGCGAAACGAAGCAATGAGTTCGAAATTGTCGACTTCGTTCTGAAGAAGTTTTCACGCTTACGCAACTCGGACGAAGATGAGGTGAGAATCTTCATTTCTTTTTCATCCAAATGACCAACAAAATGTGATCTATAGCCCTGCATCCACTTAAGGATGACCGTAATTTTGGTACAAGTAGACATCAGAATGTTTAGTAAACAACTAAGTGTAATAGATAGAGGGGTCCAACGTCACACTAATTTTAAGCAAATACATAATTTTAAGCAATTATCAAAAACAATAGATACCACTTGGTCTTTTTCAAAGCTTTTATCAAAGGTAGTTAACCTGCCTCTTTTGCACCAACTCACTCGATGATATAAATGACATCACCGAAGCAATAAAAGTGGAAATTACAATTAATTGTGGTTTCTGCGATTTGCAGAGGATCTATGAAAGGGTATCCAGCCTGTCTAAGCATAGCGTTTCTCTTTTTTCCACACACTTTACGCTGAGTTATTTTGTTGAGCTATGCTTACTTGCGACTCAGCTAGTTTTTTTACGTATACAAGTTTCAAATGGTACCACCATTGCAGCCGGAATCGGTCTACCAGTGGTAGACCTGAAGCTAGAGGTCAAGTGAGAGCTCGTCCTCGCACACTATAATTGTCATGGCACGGGATCGATTACCCGATCTCACGTTCACCAAGTGAACGCCTTTACAACTATGCTAAGTGCTTCTGTTGTGATTTACATCATGTTTTGCAATTACTGCAAAACATATTAGTTTATTTAACTGGTCACTCTGATATGACCTTCATTGGCCATTCTCTCCGGCGGAGAGAATGATCTCTCATTGTTTTTAATGTTTTAACTTACCGACTAATTCATCTTAATTCCTTATTCTTTTTAATAATTTTAATTTAGAATTAGCTACAACAATGTTCAATGATTGTGTTTACATTAGGGACCCTGTTAGTTTCGCGGAACCCCTCTATCACACTTGTACCGGTATTGTATCAGCTATCGTATATGAAATAGCAACTCTTTGTTGATCATTCATAGAAACAGAAAGACACGTCTTCATGATTGCACTCTTAAAGTTGCACTTATCAATTAAATTAAGTTTCCTACATTTATTTTAAGCTTCAATCAGAATACTTTTTCAATCTAAAATAGAGCAATAAGTTGCAGGCGAGACAGCAACTGCTTCGAGACGAGGGCAATAACGATGAAAGCTTAGCGGGAGGCGGGCGTGGATTCCGGGTGGATCTGGGCGTGCTGGATGAGAAGTGGCGCCAGATGCGGAATCGAATTATGTCACTGCTGCAGAGTGAGCAGAACGAAGTCAAATACAGGATGGACTTGCTGGAGAATGAGTCAGACGATGAAACTTGGCAGACTGTCGTCCACGACGAATCCGAATGTAAACTCACATTGGATAGCAAAGCATTTCCGAATCTATATCTCAACACACTTATATCTTATAAGTAATCTTGAGTCACTAATCTCGCTCCCCAAGAAGGAATGCTCCAATGATTAAGCACTTCCGATAACTGAATCAATGGAATAAAGACGATTTGATTAAGTTGTAACTTATCATTTCTTGCTTTTACACTTAACAAGAAAAGACATTTGAACGTATTTTCTGAAACCAATCGAAGTCAAATTCTGAGAGACAGTGGCATAAAACTTCCCAGTTTAAAGACACGGATTCACCTAAAACAACAACAGCCTTCAAAAAGATTATAGATAAATCGAATAAAACGATTCGATTGAAATGTTAAATCACTTTGTTAATAATTATCAACTAAATATTTTTTTCATGAAATTAACTTCTTGATAATTAACAAAAAAATTTCTTAAAAGTTCAATCAAATCATTTTATTCCATGATGCAAAATCACAGGCCCGCCACGATAGCTACTGTATGCAGCGATATATCTAAAATCTTTTAAAAAGGCTGTTGCCATTTTATGTGAATTCGTGTCTTTAAACTGGGAAGAGTGTCTCGCAGAATAAGACTTTGCTTGGTTTCAGAAAACACATTTAAGTACTTTTTATTGTTAAGTGTAAAAGCAAGAAATGATCTTGACTTATTTAAGTCGTGATTATTTTGAGGATTAAATAACAATACCTACCGAAAAACATTCATACATACCAGTGCTGATTTAAATTATCCGGACAAAACGAACAAAACTTGAATTTTCGAACGCGTTTTCTCAATTAGGGTAAAAATTAGACAAAAAGTGAAGATAACAAAATTTGCTAAGAATTTTACCAAAATTAATATGCTGCAATTTTTCTCCGAAATTCTCAACCAAAATTTTACCCTAAAAATGGGTCATTTTGGCTTTTTTTGAATTAATCAAGAATTACGCTGAAACTACTTTGTTAATAGAGGAGAAAACTAAATCACAAGAAGCCTTTTACATATCACAACAAAGTTCTAGAAAGGTTAAATCAAAATTTTGCGCAAATTGTTTAAAATTAGTTTTTAAGCAAAAACTTGGTTTTTATATAGTAAAATTTTTGGGGTAAAATTTTGGTTGAGAGTTTCAGAGAAAAAATTGCAGCGTATTATTTCTGGTGAAAAACGCATTTGAAATTTATTTTTTTTTGTGCGACTAATTTATATCAGCCTTGTATTAATGCAATTATGAAAGCACTTATGAGTTATTTGAATTCAATTCAATTTCTTCTGCAAAAAAATAGGTAAATTGCGCTCTCCCATTACGAAAGCGGAAATAACGCTAAAAATGTGAATGAACCCTAGCTTCGAAAGTGAATTGAAATTTTTAGGTCTTCCAGCGGAATAAAAAATTTACCCGATAATCAAGTTTTCCTAAATTGGGGTATTTTTATGAAAAAAGTGTCAATCATAAATTGCTCTTGAAGTTCAGAGAGTTTGAACTCGATCATTTTTTTCGGTTTCCTTGTTCTTTTACAACCTGTTGGCTATGTTTTAGATTATGGACTGGAAAACAGTGACAACCAGTTAGTGCTTTTCTCTTCAGTATCCAAATGAACAATTGTTCCGTTTCAAGAAAAATTAACCTGTTTCAGAGCTTCAAGTTTGCGGCAGAAGCAATCACTCATTCGCCTAAAGTCTAGTATGTTACAACCAACTTTTTATTATCATATTAATATATCGCATAGATGGGAAGACCATTGATGACCGTTTAAAGAACCTTTAGGACCCGTTAACTTTTATAGGTGATGAACGTAGTGAGTACTCTTATGTAAGTTGTTGATCTTTTTGTTTTTTTTTTCAAGAAAAAGTTTTGAATTTGTTCACGCTCAATTTTGATTTTTCGCGGTTTAACTTTTGATTTCTTATGAATTCTACTTCATTTCTTCTGATTAAAAAAAGGGAAATTTGACTATCGAACAGCAAAATTGTGAAGGTCACAAAAAATTGAAAGTCTTCTGGTTTCGAAAATGGAATTTAATTATTAGATTTCCTAGTGAAATAAAAATTTTATTCATTCATTGATCCAATTTTCTCAATTTGGGTTAGTTTTTATCAAAAGAAGCACCAATCAAATATTGTTACTGAAATTCAAAGAGTTTTAAGGGCTTATATTTTTTCTTTAAAATTTGAAACTACAACTTTTTTTCAAAAAACAAGTCAGTCTGTTTTCTGTTTCCTTTCGTTTATTACTCCTTTCCAAGTGTCAGTACACTATGCTTTATAGATTTACTGCACTCAATCCTTTAATGAGAATATTTAAAAGCAAACAAAAAGACAGGCCCAGGCACAGACTGAAACAAGTATCACTAGAAGCTGTTTTAACAACACGGTCTTTCCCAGCCAATGATGCGCGCTTTTTTCTGTAAAAAAGCAACAAAAAAAAACTGTTCACAAAGAGCATTAAAAACTGATTTATTTTTGTGTGGTTTAGTTTTTTTAAAGGTTTGTTCAGAAAAATGACTTTCGCGTTGAATGAGTTTAAAGTATTTATAAAGCAATTAAATTGACATCACATAGGTAGACAAAAAATTGCAAGAAATGATACAAGCATTTTGTTTCAATGGATTAAAATAGTGAAGACTCAGGTATAGGAATTTTTGAAATTTTAAATTTAAATTGATAGCTTGAAACGATTAGCCATATATTCAATTTTTTTGGTAAAAGAAATTTGACACATAGTTTTTGATGATGGCCTGATTTGATGTGCAAATATTGGCTTGTTGTAAGCTATTTAAGAGATTAAAACAGAAAAAACTCAATTTATTTTGATAAATTGATTAATTGAAATTGAACTACTTAAATGCATATGACTCATATCTCGCCATGTTCGAGCTTCTTCGCCGTAATATTTTCAAATGTTCAAGCAAACGCCGAAACCGCTAAGTTGAAACTATCTTCAAATTATGCTTATCACTAAACAATTTAAGCAAAATCAATCCGGTCGTATTAAATTTTCATGTATCAGAAGCGAGCTTAACGGAGAAGGAGTAGGTTCAAGGTAGCTTCAAAACAATGCAATGTGTTTTTGAAGAACTTTTGAAGATATCAATTTGTTCACTTTTATGACCTGTCTTTCTGCAATTCAATTTGCTTGAGTGGCTTGTTGGGTCCCAAAAGTGAAAACTATTCTGACACAAGTTATCAAGAGATTGAACTTTGAACCATTTCAGGTTATTTTAATAGCTGCTAGCAAGATTTTAACCAAAAAAAAGTTGAAAATTTCTTCGATAACTTCTCCTAATCCACTAGGAGAGGGTTCTTTTCCATTAGAGTTCCCTTCCATTCCTTGAAATGTCATGGAGTGGAGCTCTTTTAGGAAAGTATGCGAAAAGATTTCTTCGCATCATCAATAAGGAGCGTTTAAGTATCTTTCAGTATTTCAGTAGATAACGCTCGTTCAATTTCAACATTTTTGCACTGAATTGCTTGATAGCTCAATTGATATCATCGAGGCCAAAAAAACTGATTGACTCTGCGACATTTTCAGAACTGCGAGACCCTCTATAGACCCCCGATAGACACTGCTTATTTATCGGGACCCCTCTAGTGCATGTTCCCCCCCCCCCCCCCCGCGATTTGCAACATAAGAAGCTGATCTCGAGACGCGTATTAAAACATCAGGGGGTTATGATTAACTGGGCGTTGTAATAAAAAAAACCAGCCATAATGTAGATCTTAATTTGAAACTTATCCTGCTTTGCCTTAAATTGACCTCCCTGGTTCTGCCGTGCCTGGTTTTGCGCTGCGCTGCCCTGCTACGCTTTTTGTCCTGTCCTGCCCTGCCTCAGCTTTTTCCAGCCATCCCGACCTGCCTTTACCTGCGCTGCACTGCATTGCGCCGTCCTGCTTTGTTTTACGATTCTCTTCTTTGCTTTGCGCTGCCCTGGCATAAACCTCCATCAGCTTACCGGCTCTGCGATGCTCTGCTCCTCCTTGACCTGCTCTGCCTTGCTTTGCGCTGCCTTAAATGACCCCTACTTCCGCTGCTCTTCACTGCCTTGCCCTGTGTTGCGCTGCACTGCCTTTCCTTGCCTTGCGCTAACATGCACTGCGCTGCTCTGCCCTGCCTAGCTTTGGGCTGCCCTGCTCCTCATCAACCTGCCCTGCACTACCTCAGCCTCCTTGAGCTGATTTGCTATATCCTGCCTTACGCTTCTCTGTCTTGCCCTGCCATGACGTACGCTGCCCTGCCCTACCTTACACTGCCCTACCTTACGATTCTCTGCCTTGCCCTGCCATGACGTGCGCTGCCCTGCCCTACCTTACACTGACCTTACACTGCCCTACCTTACACTGCCCTACCTTACACTGCCCTTGCTTTGCGCTGCTATGCTTTGCGCTGCCATACTCGTCCTTTCCTCGCTCTGCCGTGCCCCTCATTCCGCTGCCCTTCGCTGCCTTGCCCTGTATTGCGTCGTTCTGCCTTTCCTTGCCTTGCGCTACCCAGCCTTGCTTTGCGCAGACATGACATGTCTCTCCTTTCCTTGCGCTGGCCAGCTCATCCTTACTTTGCGCTGCCCCGACCTTCCTTGCCTTGCGATGCCGTGTCCCTCCTTGCCGCCTAGCCCTACGCTGCCCTCTTTGCATACCCCTCGTTGCTCTGCCATGCCCTGCCTTACGCTGCCCTGCTCCATTGAGCTCAGCTCTGCCCTGACATGCTCTCGAATCGTTGTAACAATCTGTCTAGACATTTGACCTGGACCTTTCCAAGCCTGCTTTAGCTTCAAAGTTTGAGGTGTTAACTCAAGTCGATTTTGTAAACGTTACGAGCTGTTGATTATGGCGCCCACAGCTGACTGACAATTAAATATAAGATTTGTGACTGAGCGACAGTTAAGCTATCGAACCCAGTTAAGCCGATAACAAAACGGTCGACCAAAAATTCTTTCATCTTCAAGGTTTTGAAGTTTTACGCCCCATCCCACCTCATGGCAGCGCAACTTAAAATGACTTAACCATATAAAACTGCAAAAAAAGTAAAGGAAGAAAAGAGAAAGTTTTTTTTAGTATTTTAGTTTAAAAAAAATGCTTTTGAAATTATGCTGGTAAAAAATGAACCGAAAAATGCATTGGAAAAAAAACTGAGAATGAGCCGATATAAATAAAAACAAAAACGTCTAAGTAACCCAAAAAGATTTCATTTTTCTTCAAAAAGATTATTTGAAAAAGTTTTTACTCACTACTTAAAACTAACAGGTATTTTATTTCAACTTTCTTCTACTGCAGTCATTTGAAAGTAACTGCACCAGAAATTAAAAATAAGCAGCATTGAAAGTAACTGGACAATTATGAGAACAGTTGCTTACAAAAAAAGTCTAGTTCCCGATTACAACATAACTTGCTCTCGCATGTGAAAAAAGAATCGAACATTGGGCAAACAGACAAAAAAATCACACCTCGATAATTGATACAAAAAATAAACAAATGGAAAAAATGGTAGTTTCTATGAGTGAAACTCTAAAATCCTCATCGAAGAGCTTCAGTAAAAGTATTTTGATCACAATTACTGGCGTCATAACCTGAATCAGGGCGACCAAATTTTGTGTCAACTACAAATCGACCTACCTCGAAAAGCAAATACTGAGCTAAAGTGTAAAAACTTTATTTGCTAACTTCAGAGAAATTAAAATGTTTGACACTGTGTCGCTCAATGAAAAGCTGGCAATCTTTTGGTCTTCCGATTTTTTTTAGCTCGAATTACTGCCATTCTTCCAATTTTAAGAAAATTATCAACAGAAAATCTAGGAAACTAAAAATCAACGGCTACATCGCAAAACTCAAAAAACTAAACATCAAATTCATCCGCCTGGAAATCAATTATCGACCAGCGTCGACCAGTAGATAAATACTGCGTTTTTGGTCACCCTGACCGCAATGAACCAAATGGCTTCTTTTCAGAAAAAGATGCTTAAGGCAGAAAAAATTCCATGTTTTGAAACTTAGACCGCCAAAAACGCGACAAAAAATCCTATCAAAAGGTTTTTCAAGCAGCAAAAGCACTCATCCCAAGCGCTGTTAAAAGCATTTATCCCAAATCTTCCGAAACAATAGGTTTGAATGTTAGCAAAAAAAAATTAGGTTACTTCCAGTTTTTTAAAACTATAAAAATCTTGAAGTTTATGCACCACGTAAAAGCAGATTTGATTTGAACTCATTCCACAAAAATTTCTTGGTAAAACTGGTTTGTATTTGCAAAACCGAGCATTTGCAAAAATACAGAAGTTCATTCACAAAATTTGATGTACCGAAAGGATTTAATCTGATTCAATTCGTTTGAGATGCTATCAAACTTTTGTTTGAAGTATATCATCTTATAAGCTTTCTATGAGGCAGGAGAATAGCATAAGGATTTGAAAAACTAGCGCAGCCATACACAAGCAATCCGTTTTGATTAATTGGTTTAACATTTGAAATAGAATACCTTATCATTATCGCTATAGGTACAAAAAGTTGCATTTTTGAAACCACACCGCAGTGCCTCCCTAATTTCAAGCACGATCTGGGAATTAAGTTCTCATCCATAATTAAATGAAAATTGGGAGCCTTAGTATTCTTTATACTAATTAATGTGATTTTGTCAGCATTCAACTAGGCATGTACATTATGTCTCTGGGGATTGTAAAATTGAATTAGTTTTTA